ATGTCAGGGTCTTGGCCTCAAAGACCGTTATCACTGGTCTAAGAGTTGCCACAATAGACAGGAGCACAACACTAAACCCAAACCCAATGGTAGCACAAGTGTTAAGACTGTTAACACAATGCACTCCCAGTCCTCCCATTCCTCCCAATCAATGCCTGATAACGACATCTCAGCCATTGATTTAAACTAATGCCGAGATCTAAATACCACCCATTGATTACATTATTAATTATAGTTAATAACACCATAACTCGTGCCGTCTTCGACACCGGAGCAAACATTTCGATAATAAGTTATCAATTATTTTTAAAATTAAAATTAAATAATAATCCAAACCATAGACTAAAAGTACTCACAATTAGTAATCAATGCGAATGTTTAGGTCTCGCCTCAGTCTCCCTCCAAATTGGCAACATTTCTCAAAAATGTGATTTATTTGTCTTAAATAAGTCTAACCATAATTTTCTCATCGGATTAGACATAATCCGTAAATTCAATCTCCCAATGAATAAACATTTTCAAGTTTTTCAACTATTTGTTGAAAATAATGCCTACAAATGTGAGGAAATTCTCACTAATCATTTCAATGATAATACTTTAACACAATATAGTTTTTGGGAAACCAATGAATTACATTCCCAACTAAATACACATGTGTTAGCCATACAAACACCACTCATTATAAGTAATAGACTAAATATTACACAACAAAATGCTTTAAATGTTATTTTAAACCATTTTGACCTTATTGTCTCAAAAGACAAGTACTATATCGGGTGCACAAATTCCGAGTACTGTACTATTTATCTAACAGACAATATACCAATCAATCTCAGGGCTTATCTGTGCTCACCGTTAGACCACCACAGCATTGATCTTAACTAAGCTAAAGACCAAAACAATTACCACTGATTATAATGTTAGCACCAGCTAATGGTATTTCAATTAATGCTCTCTTAAATACCTGATCAACATTTAAGTGAGTATTTAGAAACCATTTCATAACTTTGAAACTCTTAATAATCAGTAAATTAAACCCTAGTTTAAAAAACAAATTTAATGTAATTGCTTATGTCTCGCTTCAGTTCCTCTCAACATAAACTCAAAAATGCAGTTTATATGCCATTCATAACTCAAAAACTACGGTTTACTCATAGGATTAGCTTTAATCCCATAAATACTAATTCAAACTCAAATTGAATAAAACATTTCCCATTTATCAACTCCTCGTTGAAAATAATGCCAATGAAAGTGATAAAAATCTCACAAATAATCTACAAGTAGATACCCATTAACCTTATAGCCTACCGGTGCTCACCGGCGGATCAAACAATTGATCTATAACAAAAACACACCAATGATAGTGCCTACCGGTGCTCACCGGGCTATCATAACAAAAAACCCCATACACCTATTAATAGCAAGTTAATAGCAATTAATGATTAGCCTAAGCAAAATCCTATTAAAAAAACTTTGCCTTAAAGTTTATACCCAAAGCCCATAACAAATACACACAAATCAATGATAATTTGATTGCAATAAAAAACTTTCCTAAGCCTACGAAAGTAAAAAACATTCAACAATTCTTAGGGAAAGTAAACTTCTATTACAAGTTTATACCCAATGCCTGCAAACAATTAGCGCCTCTGTATCTACTCCTCAAAAAAGATACAAAATTCAAATGGAGTGATGAATGCGATAATGCCTTCACTTCTGTTAAGACATACCTCATGTCTAAACCCGTGCTCTGCATAAATAATCCCTCCAAAGAGTGCCTACTCTATACCGATGCCTCCCGAATCGGTACCGGGGCTGTCCTGAAACAGGTCCAGTCCGACGGCAAAGCACATCCCATAGCCTATTATAGCAAAAAACTTCTCACTTATCAAATGAATTATTCTGTGAGTGAACTCGAATGCCTCGCCATAATCCAAGCCATAGATTACTGGCACCACTATCTCTACGGCAGAAAGTTTGTCGTCTATTCCGACCACAATAGCCTAAAGTGGTTAAAAACTATTAAAAAACCAAACTCCCGACTATTCAATTGGTCCCTAAGACTAAGTCAATACGATTTTGACATTAAATATATTCCCGGCACAAAAAATTGCGAGTCGGATGCCTTATCCCGTAATCCTGTGCTAAATGCCAGCCCAATCCATGAATATATCAAGTATTCAAACCTAATATCAATTAATGAAATTATTGAGAATCAAAAGCCTTTTCTCAATAAAATCCCACAAAACCTCATATTAAACAATGACTTAATTGTTAAACAAAAACAAGACACTAAACGGATCTATATTCCGGACCCACTCATCCCTAAACTCTTAAATGAATGCCACAAAAGTTATGGACATTTAAGTACAAAACAAATGCTATCTCTCATAGCAAACGCCTATTATTTCCCTAATATGTCTCAAATTATTAGCAATTATGTTAAACAATGCAAAGTTTGTCAAACAAATAAACTCAATAGACATAAAAAATATGGCTCATTGTCTCAATTAGGTCCGGCTAAAGAGCCGTTTGAGATAATATCCATTGATACTGTTGGCGGCCTAAGTGGCTATAACTCTGCCAAACAGTATATACATGTGGCCATTGACCACTTTACTCGCTATGTCTGGACACTTGCCTCCCGAACCCAATCCGCTAAAGACTTCATAAATTTAATAAATATTGTGAAACAAACACAAACACCTAAACTAATACTTGCCGATCGCTACACAGGTATCAAATCAAATGAATTTACCCATTATTTAAGTAAAAATGACATAAATATCATGTTTATAACTGTAAACTGTAGCCAAAGTAATGGCCTCGTAGAGCGAGTCATTCAAACATTAGTCACTCGATTAAGATGTGAACTAAACGACGGCAACCAACACAAGTGTTGGCCAAAATTGTTACAAAACATAACCAAACACTACAATAATTCTGTACATTCTATCACTCAATACACTCCTAACTACCTATTGTTTGGTGTAAAACCATTTGAACTTTTCAATTATGGATCTAATATTACCATTGATTTTGCACGCAATCATGCATTTGATAACAGCTGTAAAAATCATGCCTTAAATAAAAAATATTATGATTCAAACCACAATCCAATCACTATATCTGAAGGCGATTTAGTTTATGTTGAGAATAAAAACAAGATTTCTCGCAAAAAATTAGAGCCTCCAATGATTGGACCGTTCAAATGTGTAAAGAAATTATCTGACATTTCTTATATCATAGAGTGTGACAAAAAGGGCAAAACAAGTGACACTTTTCACGTTTCAAAGCTAAGGCTGTGCCCCAAACCAAGCCATAAAATGGGGGGGATATAAAGGTATAACTCCCATACCATCGCCTCCCATACCATTTCCTCCCATACCATAACACCCCAACCCAATGGCAAAACCTAATTGCCTCCCATACCATCGCCTCCCATACCATCGCAACCCCAACCCAATGGCAAAATGATACCAAGAATTGTGTCCCTAATTGCCAACACATTGTCTCTATTTTTGTCACCACTTTTCACATTAATTTACATTTCAAGACATCTGTGAAAAGCATTTCATTTGAATCTCGAGTATTGATTCAATTATCGTAACCTTAATACCAAACACTATGTCCAACACAAACACTACCGACAGATACCATAAAGATATTGTGCACACAATACACACCACACCATACATACAGATACCGCATATGTGCCCAACATTGGGGTCAAACTGACCCCAACTTTATGATCCATTTTTGACTATTTAAGTCTCAAACACTTTAAACTTTTTATGCTTTTCATGCCTTATGTTATTGCCATTCATATCATACCCTTTACACACGTCTTGTGTGCCTTCCATTCAATTCAATTGTTTAATGCATTTTAATATCAATTGTTTTTTCCAATCATTTAATCAATGAATTTGTATTATTATATTATTTTGTGATCATCTCAATAAAATCAAGTTATTTGCAAATACCAACCACTCGACTGCGCTTTCATTCACTAATTTAGTGCCAAACAATTCAAAACCACTTACACTTGTATTTCATAATAATTTAAAAAAATAACTACAAAGTAACTAGGTTGTATTGCACCAATAGGTGCATTTGTTTAGACATTGAGTAAGCTAGGTCGACTCATTAGAATTTACCAAAAATGGCATTTAAGACACACACAAGTGCTAAAATAAAATCATTTCAATCCAACAATCAAATGGATATCATTCGATTAAACTGTCGTTCTCTTCTTGAGCTGATCCGTTGGTTTCAGTTCCACTCAAACGACATTTACACGAATCCACCGTAAGTGAATTTGTAACCATTTTATATATACACTATATGTACCATAATTAAGCTTATTATATATTTGTACATGGTGATAAATTTATCTTGTGTAATGTTAAATCTATGGGCTATGCTAATTATTTGCTGAATACTTGCAGTTTATTAGCTAGCTATATTTTTGGTAGTTTTGAATTAGTCACATTAATTTCTATTAAAACTACCATGCAACTGTATGATAAGAAATACGGTATTTCTACTGTCAATCAATCCCTTAAACTTATTAATTAATTTTTTTTCAGACAATTTGTGCATTTAATTGAGATTTTGGTGTTGATTGGGGGCGAAGTGGTGGTCGGCGGCGGCAATATTAATGCCGAATACGCGGCCAGTTGTTTGGCTCACATCACCGAAAGAACAGCCGCCGACTCCCTTCTCTATACTGATGCCAATCGACTGCGAAACACGTTAGTCATCGTGTATTAAATATTTACGATAATATTGTGCTCATGTACTTTGATTTTCCTATTATACCTAGATTTCCAGAGTGTGACCAACTGCGGCTGGCCATTGCCCATCTACAGGGCAATTACCCCGCATTGGTCGGCCCCCCGCCCCCACTCATAGCGGGCGTCAACCTGCTTTCCTTGACCTCGGTCAAAGCGGGCCCGGGGAGGGGTCACAATAACTATTAGGTTACAAATAAAATATTGGAATTGAAATATAATGATTATATTTTACATTTATTGAACCAATTTTAACCAAAACAACACTACATGGTTACAATTTACTACACACTGTATGTGTTAGCACACATTCAATGCCCGATGGGTGAAGGCCGGCGTGTGTCCACTCATATGAGCACCAAATCGACTAAATTGGCCTTCGGTTGAGTCATGTGTTCGGGAAAGTACTCGACAATAGTGTCGAACACTTTGGTTCGGTTCTTGTAGTTGAGGTCTGGTTCCACCGCAACGGTCGCCGAACCCATCTCTGGACACATTCTCGGCTGTGGAGACCATTCATTGGTCCGGAATATAAGTGTCGCCAACGACTGGAACTATTCGTTTTGGTGACAAAACATATCATTAATTTTGCTGGAAATCACTTTCAAATAATATAAGACTTGAGTTATACCAAACGGCTCTCTTCGGGATCCGAATGATTGAACGTTTGGGACAATTGGTTCTGAAGGTATTGAATGGCTTTCGAGCCGTTCCTATCGATCATCTCACGGAAGGCCTGCTCTCTAACCAAACGTTTACACAAACGCAACAGTTCTTTACCCGACAGACGCTTCAGCTGTGGATCAGATAAAGTCAGACAATGTATGAGTGAATTAGAAATAGAATCAAAAACAATCGCATACTTCAAGAGTCCAGAAGTCGTCGAGTCGTAGCTTCGGGTTCTGATTACGGCCGGGATTACCGCCGAAGAGATAATGACATTTGTTTATGTGATCGTAAACTAATTGGTGCGCAAATCGAGGGCACGGCTGCGCAGCACCAGACAGGCCATCGTTGGCCGTATCTGTGGTGCCGGCGATGGCCGTAGAAGTATTGCCTGTCGTCAGATCGCAATCACCACTCGTTGTGTTAGTAATATTATTAGCGATGATTTTGTTGACATGGATTGAGTTGTGGTTGCGGTAAATGCATGACCACCTGCTGTCCAGTATATCGTAGACCCAAAACGAGTTCTTCACCGACTCTTCATTCGCCGACTTATCCCTATCGCTGTCCTTATCTTTGTCTCGATCTCTGTCTTTATCCCGATTTAGACCCTATTGTCATAAAAACAAACACAAAATCAATTGTACTTAACAAAAATTAAGACATTCTCAACCACTGGATGCACAACACATACCGATAGGACATGTATTTCGTGTGACTCGGGATCAATGGTCGCCCTCTGCGTGAAGCCCGCGGCCGGCACTTCAGACTTGTGGCCGTCATTGATGACCGATATCTCATCGGTGTCCACGTTATACGTGAAGAAGTCGCTCAGGTATTCCTTCTGCCGCTGACCAGCGAATACATATAACAGACGCAACTTCTGGTGAAAAAGCATTGAATGGCCAATTCGTGACTTTATCTCCCGGTGACCGCCAGTGAGCACTCCCGCCGCCGCCGAACAGTCGTCCCTTAGTTTACGCCACTGACCCGTGTTTGCGTCGTATTGATAGAGACCGCTGAAGAGGGGCTGTTCGGGACAGTTAGCGGCCATACGTTCGTCCGATGAGCTGTTGGTTTAAGTGAAATGTTTTAATATTAACTGTTATATCAATCACTAATTCTGGGCACAAACCACGAGAGCACTCGACCGCCGAATACATAAATCGAATTCTTCTCCAAATCCATACACATCTGGTGGTCAAAGACCAGCGCCGGTCCGCCCATCGATGCCGTGTCCGCGCAGACAAGTGTCCACCGATTTGTTTGAATATCGTATATATAAAAATCGCTCTGTTTTTGGCCAATAAATCAATTATTTCTCAAAATAAAGTAATTATTTGTCAGACGATTAAAAACCTTAAGATTATCGATGGATCTGATGCTGGAATCAAGATAACGGCCTAATGTGTAAATCTTCTTCCGGATTGGATCCAAACACATCTTATGACAGGAACGAGCGGACGGTCCGCCCTCTATGAACGTGTCCTTTGAGATACGGGTCCACTCGTGACCCGCGATATCATACGACCAGAGATCAGCCAAGTCTTGAGTGCCATCCCATCCGCCGAACAGATATATGAGTTGCGAAAGTGAATCGATGCACATCTGATGGCCGCCTCTCATCCCCGGCCGCACACTCTTCGCGCCCGGTATTAGTCGGCGCCAAACGGGCCGATAGTCCTGTCGCCTGATGTATGCGTCGAACAGACGCTTCTCACAGACCTCTTCGAGCAGTTCTTCAACCGAATCGTAATCGCCATCAATGACCAGATGCACTACCTCAGCACAGTCGTTGACTAGGAGGTTAACTTACGCGCAAGCGAAGACCTCACTGAGTTTCCGAAGGCTTGTCAAGAAAACGGCGTTTAGCTTCAGACAAAGTCGAATGGCCTCTCGTTGTCGGTACTCATCGAACCAATGAAGACAATCCTTGACTAGTGAGGGGTCGTCTCTCCCCTTGAGCTCAACAAACCATAGGCTGAAGTTATAGGGCTTGTGGTGGGCGCGGGACCAGGTCTGCAGCGGTTGTATCCGTACGTAACGACACGGGAACTCATTGGACACAATCCGGTGCTTCAACGTAAACGTCTCGGGAGTGCCGTCATTGGCCAGAATGTCGTCCAACAACTCAATCATCGACTCTTCGGTCATTCCGCCGAACACTTTGATCCGTTTAACGTTACATAAGTGCGGCTTTCGGTGTTTGCCGAACAGGATTTCGGTCACAATCGCCGTTCGGCTCAGCTTTAATGTCATGTACTGTTGACCAAAGATTAAATTCCGCCGAACACTTTGATCCGTTTAACGTTACATAAGTGCGGCTTTCGGTGTTTGCCGAACAGGATTTCGGTCACAATCGCCGTTCGGCTCAGCTTTAATGTCATGTACTGTTGACCAAAGATTAACGGTTTAACAATTGATTCACTCATGAGTTGGTGAATACAACAGACCTGTGGAGGAGATGTGCTCTCCGAAGACCAGCGAGAGTTGGAGTCGTTTGGGTTGTCCTCTAATATACGGCTATAAATGTGTGAACACAACAAGTGATTGATTAGTAATTTAATTGATATAATCATTGAATCCATTAATACTTTGGCGGATAGTTTGGTGAATAACTGGACACTTGATGTATGGTATAAGACAAACACTTGTCCATCTGTTGGTCACCGACTCTGCAATCGTTACCCCTTTCGGTGACAATATTCACGTGACCGGCCATTGGTCTTCGCGCGACTGATCCGTCAAAACACTGGTCACATTCACTAGTGATGGTCACAAACGGCTACAAACTATACACACGAAGAGACAAAACACGTGTTTGTCCGCCACCGACACCAATACTCGGCCGATACACACACGCCTTGATTGGGTCACGTGATAGATATCGGGTTACCAATCGGGTGGACACATGTGCGGCCAAAAACGGGTCAATCGTTTGTATTGTGTTTTACGACAAAATTGTATTTATTTTTTGTTTGAATTTTGAAGTTTTGTTTTTAATAATAAACACAGCATTCACTGCATCGCAAAATGTGGTTAAACTTCTCGGGAATAACCAACGACTGCATCGGCGGCCGAAGTAGTGGTCATCGCCAGTGGTTATCACGAGTATAGGAGTCAACACACGTGTTGCACATCCATAGGACACATACAGTGGACAAACATATCATTGGTTAGCGAGTGGTGGCATTTAAATAGATAATAAGATATACTGACCATTGTTTTGGATCAATTAAGCGGTGATTTCTTCGCTATTGATGTCAACACTTTGAATGAGAAACGAGAAAAGGAAGCGAATGGCTCTCAAACCGGATGTTCAATGCTTTCGCACACTTTTGATGAACGTATTAATAATCCACGTTTTGGTACCTTTTGTTTATAGCATTACAATTAGTTTCAATGTATAGAATAGGTCCAAAACTATTGCACGTTATTTGTTTAATTGGAAACGTTTTTCATATTAATACTTGTACACTAATACAGTCTATTCTCGTTATAATAAACGCTGTTGTTTGCATCAATTAAACATGTTTATTAATGAGATATATTTAGGAAAATTAATTAATTTATAGTTTTATTTTAATAATATTAATACTTGTACACTAATACAGTCTATTCTCGTTATAATAAACGCTGTTGTTTGCATCAATTAAACATGTTTATTAATGAGATATATTTAGGAAAATTAATTAATTTATAGTTTTATTTTAATGAACGCATGGTTTTTATATTTAATAGTTAATTAAATGTTATAAATTAAATACTTTGTAAATATATGTGCCCTGAATGTGGTGTTCAATTGATAGCACAATTTATAATTCATTAATAACGTGTCTATCAATTGATGGGCAAATTAAATGTAATTAAATATTGCATTAGTTTATATATGAATAATCAATTAGGGGTTCACTTATTTATCAATACTATTATTTGTGTAATTTATGAATGATTTGTGTTTTAAAGCATGCATTAAAGTCCATGTGTTTTCAAATTGTTGACAACAATTATTGTCATTTAAATTATCATTTATTTTGATATTAAGTCCGAGACATCAGTCCAGACAAAGACTACCGCAAGACATGGTTGTCATCAAAGATAAGAGTGTTATCAATAAAATCAGGTAAAGAGAGAGAGAGAGAGAGAGAGAGAGAGAGCTCTAGTATTTGGTTTGAATAATTGAATGTCTTGTTTAAAAACAATGTCTTCAGGAAAGCGAAGACCAGAAGAGGTAAACGAGTGTTGGAGTCGAGGGAACCGCTGATCGTCGAGAACACAAAGAAAGCCATTTTCACGCGCGGATCAAATGCCAGTCAAAGATGTGTTCAACTATTGAAAGACTTTGTATGAGAGCTAAACCTTTGCCATTCATTCACTCAATACTAACCAATATTTGATGTTTGAATTTCAGTGTTTATTAAAAAAGCCAAACAGTGTTTACTTCAATCGGTAAGTGATGGCCGGCGGCGGCGGTCACACCAGTCCATACACTTTGCTTCTAAACTGATTGTCTGTGTCTTTGACAGGAAGGAAGAGTGGCATCCATTCGACGACTGGTCGCCCGTGGAGTACATGTGCGGCAAAAACGACGCCTCACTCTTCGCGTACGCCTCGCATACGAAGAAGCGGCCAAACAATGTGGTGATCGGCCGCACGTTTGACGACCATCTGCTCGATATGGTTGAGCTCGGGTTCGACGACTACCGGGCGCTCAATGAGTTCAAAGTGCCGAAGACAGCCATTGGCACCAAACCTATCGTACTGTTCAGCGGACAGCCCTTCGACACCGAACACGACTACCAGCGCCTCAAGAGTCTACTGTTGGACATGTTTGCCGGCCCTCAAGTCGATAGCATACGACTGTCCGGTTTGGAGCACGCGATCCAATTCGTGGCCACCGATGGCCGCGTACTTATGCGCAGCTATAAAGTGGCGCTCAAGAGGTCGGGCACTCGTCTGCCGCGCGTAGAACTCGAAGAGATGGGTCCCCGCGTGGAGTTTACACTTCGGCGCCGACACTTGGCCTCACAGGACCTCTGGAAGCGTGCGCTCCGACAGCCGGACGCCACCCGCAAGAAGTCCTCGTCGGCCACGAAGAATGTGAAACGGGATGCGTTGGGCTCGACGTTAGGCCGCATTCATATGCGCCGTCAAGACTATCGGCGCCTATCGTTGCGAAAGTCGCGCGCATTTCGTAAGTCATCCAAAGAGGGGATCAGTTCTGGCGCTAAGAAGACAAGTGTTGTGCCCGTCGTTGACACTAATGATAGACCGGTTGTCGACACCAATCGATCACATGATATGCCACCCAAAAAGAGGGTCCGCTTTGAATCTTAATTAGGTTTTGTTTAATTAAATAAATTTGTGGTTTATTTGATATTTAATTAAAAATCAATAAAATTTAACGTAAATAAAGTATTAATTTTATTAAATTAAACATATGGTCACTCTCTTTGTCTGGTCTATTAATGTAATTGCAAAGTTAGTAGAGTTGAGTTAACTATACTTAACACATACCGTATAAGATGCATGTTCTTTATCATGTAATGTAAATACAATATATTGGCATATAGTGTATACCTAATTATTAGATTTTAATAGTTGAATGATTTGCAATTTCATTTAAAAAATGAGATGATAAATAAATATAGTGTTAACAACGACTCATCATTTACTAATAACTGCAGGAATTTTCCATTTGCTACCAGTATTAACAGTTTGTATTATTTGGTACATAACTTGGACCAATATTTTTACTAAGAAAATAATTATTAATGCGTTTTTAATAGGATTATAACTTGTTAACATGTTAAATAATGTTGAAAAAATTTATGAAAGATAATAATACCGTACATTGAACATATTCATAATAATTTAAAAAATAACTACAAAGTAACTAGGTTGGATTGCACCAATAGGTGCATTTGTTTAGACATTGAGTAAGCTAGGTCGACTCATTAGAATTTACCAAAAATGGCATTTAAGACACACACAAGTGCTAAAATAAAATCATTTCAATCCAACAATCAAAT